TTTTTTTTTTTTTTTTTTTTTTTTTTTTTTCTTTTTCCCCCCTTTAGTACGACCTCATACCCTACCTGATCAAAATTCAGAACACACGTAGGGCAGCAGGTAGGCAGGAGAAACAGCTCCTTCGTGTGGGCACAACCCATTCTGTATAGCCCCCCCACCGCTTCCCTATGTATTGCACCCCGAGGGTTAAACATTCTCATCATGTCTGTGCGTACACCTTCCCCTCCCGCGCAGAGTACTACGCCAAGTCTGAGTTCAAATTTAACATGTACAAAACGTTAATAAATAAATACGAAAAGGGAGAGGACAACGAAGAGGTGGAACAGAAGGAGGGCGGCACCCCTTTTCTGTCTTCCCCTCTCTCACACCAGGAGAACATAGAAAGTGTTGTGTGTTACGTGCAGCCCAAGTCCAATGGGTTCTGCCAGAGGATCAACAGCCTACCAAACTTCATCAAGGCCAACATGCTGGTAAGCCCCAGGGAGCGTGCTGCAGGAGGGGCGCATTCGTGCGTGCACGTACATATTTATGCATGTACGTGTGAACATGTTAACCCATTCGCCTCCCCCGCACAGTTCTGCGTCTCCAGACACGAGCAGCTGAAGAACGTCCTGCCCCCCTACTGCTTCTTCCTAATGAGTGACAAAAACCAGTCGGTAGGTTTGCGGCCCCACGGGGTGCTTAACGGAGTGTGCACGAAGTGTGTACGGAGCGCGCCGTTCCAATTCACCCATTCCGCACCGTTGCATTTTTTTTCGTAATTTAATTTGACTTTTTTTTTTTTTTTTTTTTTTTTTTGGGGACCCCCTTTCCCATTTTGCAGTACAAGGACTGCATAATAAGTAGCCACTTTGAGCACGAGGAAAATGTCACTCTTAAAAAGTCAGTCCTGGGTAAGTGCTTCCCCCTTAAACCTGCACCCCTGTAAAGGTAAATGCACTTTCTACACATGACCCTTTACCCTACTCCTGTCCCTATTTCCCCCCCTCCACTTAGGCAAAAACGTAAAAATAAAAAAAAACTCCTCCGTTAACAGAAGTATCTTCATGGACAACATAACCATCAGTGAGAACTGCCACATACAGAACTCTATCATTTGTAAAAATGTTTTAATCGAGGACAATTGTAAGGTGGGTTTACAAGTGTGAGATAGATTAGAGGGGGTAGAGGCTGCGTCGCCTGGGCGTAGCAGCTGCATGCGTGCAGAGCAACGTGCACACCAAGCATCCTTCCCCCACAAAGCGGGGTACCCCCTCCTACCGCTCACTCAAATAAATTACCCCCCTTTTTTTTTTTTTTTTTACTACCCAGCTGGTTGACTGCATAGTAAGGGAAAACAGCGTCATTGAAAGAAATGGCATCTTCGAGAAGGAAACCCTACCCCTATTTATCTCCTAGCGATGCAAAAAAAAAAAAAAAAAAAAAAAATTTTTTTTTTTTTTTTTTTTGGACGGAGTCCCGTCTGCTATATGAAAACTCCACACACATATGGCAGAAGTTTGTCTTCTTCCCGAGCCTGTCCTGTTTGTTCTTTTTTTGGCTCCACTTTTGCAATCTGTTTTTTTTTTTTTTTTTAATACATATTACGTTAACCATTGTTAGAAGCATTCTGTTTTCATTGCTTCCCCAATGTTCCTTCAAACTTCACCACCGTCCATTTAATTATGAAACACAAAAAAAAAAAACGTGCGCGTGTATAGGTATCCCTACGGAGTGGCGTCCTGGACTGGGACAGGTCGGGAGGAAGAAAAGAAAAAACACATTTCTTTTTTTCCCCTGCCTGCACCTTCCCCCCCCTCTTGGGCTGCTCCCAACTGGAGGCAACTAAAAAGCATCCCCTAATAGGTGACACATCCACGTGTATATAAGTGACAAATGCATATGTTGAATGAACCACTTGTGCTGATTCGTTTTTTGTTTCCATAACAACGGGGGGGTGGACTCGCTCCTACCAATTAGTCACATCACCGTGTGTGTAATGAGCGACTGTCCCCTCCAACTTTTTAGCGAATTCTCATCCCCCATTGGACGCGAAAAAAAACATTTACGTACGCAACTTTTTTTTCTTTTCCTCAAAACATATGCAATGGAAAAAAAAGAAAAAAAAGCACCCTTAGATGCCACGCCGTGCAGCACGTTTCCATCGTACCCCCCAACGGGTGAGAATCACTTGTGCCAAATTTGGTGACACAAAAGTTAGCACCCCGTGTTTGTATTTAATCTGTTATTTGTATATAGCCCCCTCCCTGGTGGGCAGTTCCAAAAATAACAGAAAGAGGGATTGAAAAGAAATAAAGCACATGCCGTTCTTTCATATTATAAATAAAAGAGTAACTGTTGTTATTAAAAATCTGCGTAGGAGCGGGGTGTAGGGGCGTGGGGGGCCAGGTGCGCTCAGCTTTTTACCGCCAAGTCGTCATTTGCCTATGGGAGTATTCCTGAGAAAGAGCAAGTTGGTCGAAGATACAGGATTTTTTTTTTTTTTTTTTTTTTTTTTTTTTTTTTTCATCTCGCCATTTTCCTTCACCGCGGTTGCGAAATTTGGGCCCTCCCCCCCCGGCACGTTTTTTCAGAATCGTTTTTGCTTTTTTGCAAAAATACGGGGACTGCCACTGAATTTGAACTAGGGAAGGGAATTATATAATTTTTTTTGTTTTTTTTTTTTTTCTACTGTTCCACCATTTAATGAGCTCACTGCATCGCCTCGACATTGATGGCCGTTGAGTGGCTCCTCTGATTCGTCACTTCGCCGCACAAGCGCGATAGAGCGATACGGCGATACGGCGATACGGCGACAGAGTGATATACCGCGTTGACCCCCCCGTTGCTGCTTTCCCTTTGCTGCCGTCCCGTTGCCCTCCAACTAACCCAATGGAGTTTGAGGGCAGCAGAAGGAGGGGATCTAAGTACCCGTACGAGGGAAGCGACGATGGCAGAGACGAAAGGTAAGAAGGGCGCAAAACACATAAACACCGGAGCGTTGTGCTGCACAGTGTATAACTTGTCCTCACGTGAGTGAGATGTGGGGACGTGCTGCTGATGCGTCTGTGAAGGGATAAGCAGATGGTGGTGCACGAACAGAAACGAGTTTTTGTGAGCACTCGAAGGGAGGCTTTTCCCACCTTCACGCATGTCACCCCCTACGCATTGCTTCCCCCGGACAAGTGAAAATGAAACGCGTGAAACGCAACACGTGAAAACGAACGCCTCACCCCCAACCCGCAGGTACCCACGGGAGAGACACAATTCGCCAAGGGCGCGCAGAAGCAGGTCCCACTCATATAGAGCGAGACGGAACTCAGGGGAGAATCACGGAGGTGGGGACAGGTACCATATGGACGGAAGAGGACGCAGAGAGAGGAGCTCGGGCAGCAATCAACCCTCACGAGAATCATATGCAAAGAGAAGTGAAGACAATTCAATGGAAGAGGCAAGGTGGCGATCAAGGAGAGGGGATCGTGATGAACGTGACGAGAGGCTAGAACGCCGTTCCCACCGCGGAAGGAGCGACAGCCGGGACAGGAGGGAACGTCGAGACAGACGAGACAGACGAGACAGGAGGGACAGCATTGATGGCCGTTGAGTGGCTCCTCTGATTCGTCACTTCGCCGCACAAGCGCGATAGAGCGATACGGCGATACGGCGATACGGCGACAGAGTGATATACCGCGTTGACCCCCCCGTTGCTGCTTTCCCTTTGCTGCCGTCCCGTTGCCCTCCAACTAACCCAATGGAGTTTGAGGGCAGCAGAAGGAGGGGATCTAAGTACCCGTACGAGGGAAGCGACGATGGCAGAGACGAAAGGTAAGAAGGGCGCAAAACACATAAACACCGGAGCGTTGTGCTGCACAGTGTATAACTTGTCCTCACGTGAGTGAGATGTGGGGACGTGCTGCTGATGCGTCTGTGAAGGGATAAGCAGATGGTGGTGCACGAACAGAAACGAGTTTTTGTGAGCACTCGAAGGGAGGCTTTTCCCACCTTCACGCATGTCACCCCCTACGCATTGCTTCCCCCGGACAAGTGAAAATGAAACGCGTGAAACGCAACACGTGAAAACGAACGCCTCACCCCCAACCCGCAGGTACCCACGGGAGAGACACAATTCGCCAAGGGCGCGCAGAAGCAGGTCCCACTCATATAGAGCGAGACGGAACTCAGGGGAGAATCACGGAGGTGGGGACAGGTACCATATGGACGGAAGAGGACGCAGAGAGAGGAGCTCGGGCAGCAATCAACCCTCACGAGAATCATATGCAAAGAGAAGTGAAGACAATTCAATGGAAGAGGCAAGGTGGCGATCAAGGAGAGGGGATCGTGATGAACGTGACGAGAGGCTAGAACGCCGTTCCCACCGCGGAAGGAGCGACAGCCGGGACAGGAGGGAACGTCGAGACAGACGAGACAGACGAGACAGGAGGGACAGACGGGATAGGGATGACAGGAAAAGGAGGTCTGGTAGACTGAACCCTAATTTGTCCTCCTCCCATGAGCGCTCCAGGTCGAGGGAAAGGCGAAGAAGGAGGTTACAAGCAGAGTGCATTAAAAAAGCAGGAGGATTTAAAAAGCTAGCTGATATGGAAGGACATGAAACAACGAGTGTGTTCTGGGATGGCTTTCAGTGGGTAGCGAAAACGAAACAGTCAAGTACCTCCCACTTAGATCCTGCAGTGATGAATTCTACAAGAAAGTTAAGAAGACTCTACTTTGGTAACCTGCCTCTACATCTGGGTTTATCTGAAAACGAATTCCAGGAAACAGTGTGGGATGAAATGAAAAAAAGAAGATTTTGTAATGACGATAATGTTAATCCTGTTCTGTATGTGTGGTTTGCAAAAGACAAAGGGAATTATGGGTTCGTTGAATTTTCTACTGTCGAGGAAACAGAGAGAGCATTAACAATGGATGGCATGATGTGTAGGGGGGTCGCTCTGAAGGTTTCCAGACCAAACGATTATTCTACAAACACGATGAAGCATACTCAGTCTTCTCTTGTTCAGAATGTGGGTACACTAGCTGCTGGGGTAGTTGTCACAGGGGGTAACATGTATGGCAAACCGCCACCCCCACCAGGGGCTCCCCCTCCATCTGCGCTAAGGGAAGGAGTAGATCCCGGGCAGGATAACCAAAGTAACCTCGAAACAAAGTACCTACGCGTGCTAGAAATTGTGTCTGAAGAGTCAATTAGTAATGAAGATTATTCCTCTTTAGTAGAAGATATAAAGGATGGGTTCCACTCCCAGGGTATAATTATTAACGCCATTTTAATAACCCCCAAGTATGCAGGAGTCACTCCCTTCAATGTGGGAGATGTGGTGATTGAATTTGAAAATGCTTCCTCTGTGGACAGCAGCATAGCAAATATGTCAAATCGTAAGTATGAGGGTAGAGTCATTCGAATGACCAAAGTGGATGAAGCCACTTACGACATGCACGTGAAACCCATCATCAGGGACCTCTATGAACAAAATGGAATATAACGCTGCTATCGCGCGAGCTCGGTGGGGAGAACAAGATCCTCCTGTGAGAACTTCCCTTTTATCACTGTGAAATCTTACAAACGACCTGCTGTTCATTTGTGGGGGAAGGGGGGGGGG